GTGAAGTTATAGCAAGTGGTCTTCTAAAATATTCATCCGCAATCTTAATGAAGAGTTCAGTCTTTTTCTTTGATTGCCAAACCTAAGACCACTCATGGAACCGAGGTGGCAGCCGTTCACAAACCACCAATGGGCCAATATCTGCTAACTGATAATGTCTGTCGTAGTTTGTAGTTTGAGAAAAGGAACAAAGAACGTTCTTGGTATTCGAATGACCTGTTGTGTATGGACTATCTTACCAGTCTATTTATCCGCCCGCCCAAACAAATCATCATCCAAAGAGCATAATAGATTGCCATGTAGAATAAGAGAAAAATGAAGATTCTGCACAACAATTAAAAATCAAAGACTTTCATACTCTTCAGAATATTTTACTAATTAAATAGAAAGATGTCAATTTTCTTTATTTTTTTATTGGACAGAACAAACTCGACAATAAAAAGGAAATTCAATTTTGAACTAGCTGGAATTCTCCTGTTTCCCAATTGATTACAATAGACAATTTTAACATTCGCATCGCGTCCATGCCTAGGATATTCCCTTCTCGAAAATGATTGTGGGACACTCGAACTACGCGCCTTTGTTTTATCTTAAATTATTCAATTAGTAAAGTTTATTAAAAAAAATAAACTTGGATGTTCAGTTTATTGCGTAACTGTGTGATGTTGCCTTCGTCAGACAAACTTTTTAAAGATTTTTCACTTAAGCAGGTGAATGGAGACCCTGTGTCTATGATAAACCAGACGAAGACGCTCTTCGAATTACTTCTTCCTGCAAAATTAATTATTCCAACTATATTGTTATAAAAGCCTACCTGCTCTTTGGCAAGCTAATGGCACCAAATACTTCGGTAAGTTCGTAGTCGTCAATGTCCGTAATTACAATATCAAATTCATCATACGGCGTTGCTAGTTTTGACCACGATATCTGATGACGAGCTTTAAAACTATAAAATAACTTTGAAACATTTAATTTTATACTTTGTTGTGATCTCTCATCTTTTCATGCAAGATTCAAACCTCAAACAGAATTCTGTAGTATGGAATTACAAAAAAAAGCATAAAAGGGAGTAAAGTGGTAGAACGAACGAAACACTATGACACTGATAGTATAATTTACATCGATAATAGAAAAAATACGGTGGAAATCGGTAGTAATTTAGGAGAATGGACACTAGAAAATGAGTTCGATCATTGGGTGTCAACTGGACCTATGAGTTATAGTTACATTACTGAAATTGTAGACGAGTCTGCAAAAATAACTTATCAATGTGAAAAAAAAGGGTTCACATTAAATTTCAAGAACTCTTTACTTTTGGTTATGATAGAAGAGTAATTAAACGAATCAATAAAAACTTTACAGATACGGTACCTTATGGTTCTTAAAGAAAAAAACAATGCACAAGGTTTCGTTGATAGCGGGGGAGTTCCATCCTTTGGAAGTGGGG